AGTGTCATATCTTTGCTTGTCATTTTTCTTGCCTGAAATTTTGCAGCAATTGGTGATCCATCTGTATATTTATGAAGTCTTGGGGAGGGAGGTTGCTTTGTTTTTATTTTTATTTTCAGTCAATGATCTCTTTTCTGATAGATTAAGCAATTCATGTTCCCATGGAGAAACTGGCTTGTTTCCACAATTTTTTTTAAAGATCTTAACAAATGTCCCAATATTCCAAATTTACCCAGTCCATTAATCTATTTAAAACTTTCTTAAATTATTATTTAGCTTTTGGCCACTTATTTTATATAGCTTACATTCTTTAAACTGCTAGTTAGCTTTTCTTTTATTAGGGCATGAAATTTTATTCGTCACATAGCTTTTCAAACTTGTTTGGAAGATCACTTTTAGCTGTAAAATAATTGTAAATCCAAGGATGATTAGAAAATGTGGTGACCTTAAAAGCCCTGCCATAGTTGAAAGCATGATTGCTTCCTCATTTCCCAGTGCCTATACCCACAGGATAACCCCTATACTGTGGCTACCTTGTATGGAGTAACTATCCAGACCACAAGTGGCTAATCTCTCATCTTCTTATCTGGAGAATTTCCATTGGTCTGAACTTTTTGCCAGCCTGTCAGTTGTCACCCCTGTGTCTCTGGTCTTTTGGAGAAATCTACTTCATCATTTCCCTTACCTGGAGGACCAAGTAAGGATTTTGAACATGAAAAAGTTATGTAGCTTTGCAGTATAGGCTCCAAAAAGGAGATAAATTTAGAGATTTGTGAACAGTGGGAGATAACATCCTTTGCCAAAGATATGTTACTCTTTTCTTTATCACTGAATAAGTGAACAATGACAACATTTTGCTTCTAGCAACAACATTATATATCCAATCAGCACAGCAGCAGGAAAAACACAGAGTAGGCCGTGTTGCTATGGCAACACTTTCCTTCACTACCTTTATCAATAGGACAATAATTATTACAATAGGTTTGCACTTGCCACTGTGGAGTTGCACTTTGTTGGATATATAGTGCCATGGCATTTTCTCTCTCACACACACAACCTATGATCTCCAATTAGTTACAATAGTGGTAATACAAACTTTTTTCAAAGGAATTGAATAAGCCTAAAGAACAGTTGATTGCAACGGTCACAGAAAATGTTTGGTGTGTATATGTTTGTATAGACAGAGATTCATCAGCAACAATTAGCAGAATTCAGGACTTCTTCAAATGTTCAGAGTTTGGACTGGAATAGAGAAGAATTCCAGGAGCTTTCTATTGGAGGAAGACTTTTATAAGACTTGTAGGTTATTTAATGAAAGTGATGACAAGATCCTTCCATGCTGCTACCTAGAAAACTACATCGATGTGCCCATTGAAATCCCCAAGAACCAAGTATGCAACTTGAAAGGTTTATCTTCCTCAATGGTCAATTCATAACTATTGGTTGACAAGTATAGCTTTCACTTTGGTTTCCTTCTCAGTCTTGTCTTGCAGTTTCTATCCTAGGATTCATGTAAGCACATAAAAGACTGTGGGCCCTTCTTCAACCCTACTTCCTTTCAATAACACCTAGTATTCTCTTCAGAATACTATGCTTGAAACCCCATCCTAAAGCCATTACATCAGGAGTGGCATTCTGCTGGTTCGGCCAGGTCCGGGTGAACTGCTTGCTCTGAAGATCAGCTGAGAACAAACCGGTTTGCTCAGACGGGTCAGCATAACCCTGGGCAATACCTACCTTTATTTCCTTGTTTTTTAGCCCATCTGATAGGCGCGGCAGAGTGGATTTCCGCCCTTCAGTTGTTTTCCTGTGAACTGCACACACATGTGAAGCGCACACTCTGCAAACTGGTTGTTAAACTGGTAGGATCCCATGCCTGCATTACATACCATTTTGGATTGTGTCTCTGTGTGTATTTCTCTGTCTGTCTGTCTGTCTGTCTCTCTCTCTCTCTCTCTCTTTCCCGCCCTCCCTCCTCCCTCTCACCACCTCTTCAATCCTCACTAAGTCTAAGAAAATTTCCACATTACTACACTCTCCATTCACCAAACTTTCAGAAGCAATTAAAGACAATCCACGTTTGTCTTCACTTCTGCTGACTTGAAATTCTAATCAACAAAAATGAACTGTGCTGAAGTTCTGGGGTAAAAGATACTTCCATTGCAGACAAAAGACAAGAGAGAAAGTAACTCCTTCTCCCCAGCAGCATGATACTTTGCAGACAAGTTCTTCCAGTGCTAAAAAGAACTAATTTTCACCTTTGCTTGCTTTGTCTGGACTATTGGTGTGTGCGTATGTGCAAGTTAGCATTTCTCCTAGGATTTGAACTTCAGCAGGTGGGAGAAGGTGTGAGGCAAGAATTCCTTTCTTGGGGGAAATTAAGCACAGCCCCACTATTAATTCCACAAACCTCAGCTTAGTAATAATTTAAAACCGCATCACAACTAAGTGAGAAATAAATTGTTCACGTTGTGGGACCCAGAAGTCCAGGGTTACTTTCAATGTTGGGGCAGTTCCCTTGTGATGATGTCTTAAGAACATGTATTAAAGCGCACATATATTCTTATTCAATTTCCTTCTCCATCCTGTATTATGACTTTACATGATAAAATTCTTAAAACAAAATTGTTTTTCTTTGGAAAAGTATCTTGCACATGGATGGTACAATGTAGGGCAGGGGTTTTCAAAGTTTGCAATAACTTGACCCTATAAAATAAATGTATGTGCCTCCCCTATTAATAAAATTAAAGACTACACTAGGGGTAAGAATGAGCAAGGAATAAACATATAGTTTACTTTTAATCATTTAAATTTAATCTTATGTATAAAATAAAATTAAAATAGTAGTTTACATAATAAAATAAACCTATTAATAGGAAATGAGTAAAAAACCAAGATAATTTAAAACCACATATTTATTGGAAGAATGCTCTTGCTTCCTTTTTGTTAATCACTAAAATCCGGATTTCATTTTGAAGAAAGCCACTCTTTCACAAAATCAGGAGGGTGTGGGGAATAGAGTAGGAAACAAAATTGTGTTTAATTAATTAGATTATGCAAGGTCCTTGGTGTTCTCCAAGCTTGGTGGTTTATTTCAAACATTTCATTACCAAACTAGGTAACATCATCAATCTACCAAGCTCATAGGACACCAAGACTCCAGAGTTCAACCCTGATATTTTCTTCTATTGGTAATTGGAAGCTTTTAATTGTTCCTAAAATTCTGCAGGTTGCAAAAAGATGGCAGACTTAAGTTGCTTTTGATGCTCTCTCTGCTACCATACAGTAGGTGCTCTAAAAACCAGAACCTATCTTCTCTTTCTCTTCCACCTTGGCCCTTGTAAATCTCACCTTCCTTCCCACTTGCAATTTCCTTCTCCGTCCTTCTCAGTCCTCCCTCCTCCCCTAAACAGTATAAGGGATAGAACTTTGCATCTATACTTTGTAAGATAAATAATGTTTAGGGGAAAAAACAAAGGATGCCCAGGCTTCCTATCGGGCTACGCAATAGCATACTTTTGTGACAAACTAGAAAGCTTGCTTGGAGGACATGGGAGGAAGACACTGTCTAGGAATCCTCCATCTATTGTCACATAATCCCCCTTAAAAGTCACAACCCATATAGATAAGAAATGCACAGGTAATGATAGTAATGATGAATATTTCAAAAATCACCAAATACAAGCTGGGCGGATACAACCTCTTAGATGACCCTCATTCTATCAAAGACCTAGGAGTACTCATCTCAAACAATCTAAGCCCCAGAGCTCACTATAATAGCATTGCCAAAAAGGCATTAAGAGTTGTTAACCTAATTTCGCAAAGCTTCTTCTCCAGTAACATTGTACTGCAAACTAGGGCTTACAAAACCTTTGCCAGACTAATTCTCAAATACAGCTCGTCTGTCTGGAATCCACACTGTATATCGGACACTAATGCAATTGAGCGAGTCCAGAGGAACTTCATGAGAAGAGTCCTCCGCTCCTCTGCTCACAATAGAATACCTTATGCCACCAGGTTTGAAATTTTGGGCTTGGACAACCTAGAACTACGCCATCTATCATCTGACCTGAGCGTAGTACACAAAATTGTCTGCTACAATGTCCTACCTGTCAATGACTACTTCAGCTT